TGCCCTTGTTACTAGTAGTAATGCCCTTGTTACTGGTAGTAATGCCCTTAGTAATGCCCGTGTTACTAGTAGTAATGCCCTTGTTACTAGTAGCGATGCACTTGCTACTAGTAGCAGTTCGTCTTCCGTTTTACCTGGCACAGTATTCAACTCTCACCAGGTCCAAGGTCATCCAAAGGTCGTATGCCGATGTCTTCCCTCCATCCGATGCGGAAAAGGCCCTCCGAGCACTTCATGAAGCGCTGCGGACACCCGGTAGGTGCGCGGGACTATGCCGATCCGTGGACGTTCGGCCGGGTTTGGGGAGAGCGTCTATGCCGATCCCCAGGTGGTGGAGGGGGAAACGACCTAAAGGCCCACGAAGGTTCTTTTGTTTTGGCCCGCTCCCCTGCCTCCCTACTTAATTGAGTAGGCGCTCCTGGCATTACTACTAGGAACAAGAAGCTACTAGGAACAAGGGCATTGCTAGTAATAAGGGCAATACCACTAGAGGAAGCTTCTTGGCTTTGTCCATCTCAGTTCTGAGGTGTGTAGAGTGGAACAAGATTGTACAATGGTAGAGCCTTATTTGATGGCCCAAATCAAACCTTCTGAATTCTCAGGGATGGCTTCTGAAAACAATTTGGTGTTCCGAGAGTGTTGCAGGGTATCCCCATTATTCTGCTTGACACATATGGTTGAACGACAATATCGCACTGCTGGGGATACCCTAGAATTGCTTTTCGTTCAAGTGAGCAGGTGGTGCAGGAACATCGTAGAACACCATGTGGCTGGCGCGTAGATTGGCCTGCGCGAAGCTGCAATGCACTTATCAACAGTCGCACAACGATGTCATAACAGCCAAAAATAGCAAGAAACTACTAGTAGCTCCTGGCCTTACTACTAGTAACAAGGACGCTACTAGGGGCTCCTGGCATTGCTACTAGTAACAAAGGGCATTGCTACGAACGGAGCACGGACGCTACAGGTGCATCCTCCCCCGCTCCCGTCCGCACATCGCTAGGGCGCATGTTTGTGGCAGAGATTGCCGCGGACCTACAGGTGCACCGTGTGGAGCCCAGTAACGATGTGTGGTGCACCGAGTCGGTTTCGGAGGGTCAAAGTGGCCGGTTTCGCGTCCTTGCTCCTAGTAGCGATGCCAGGAGCCCCTAGTAGCATACTACTAGTGGTCGAAACGTGACTTTGACACAATCATTTGTGGCAGGTCTAAACGTGGAGGCCATCGCTATTAGGTTGGAGGCCATCGCTTTTAGGTTGGAGGCCATCTCTCTTAGGTTTTCTAAGTCACTGGAGAACCTAGGGTGGAGGCCTACTGGTTCCTAGAGAGTTTAAGACCCGAACTCCATACCATCGGGAAATCTCCTGAGAAGGTTGTTTGCAAAAGACCTGGTTGATTTCAGACCGTCTCGCATGACGTGCTGATGCCTCGATGACAGGCACAACCACCATGAAAAAGGAACGTATCACAAGCAGAGGGTACAAGAGTGCGATCCACGGCAAGGTGTGTGTGTGTGTGGCTTCCTACCAAGCATCATATACAGTACAGGCTTAAAGTTCCACGTGAAGGAAACACATGATCGTCCATGTGAACCATGGCCGTTGAGGGTTGGATCGCATTGAAGTTCTTTGTGCCTGATAATTTGGGCACAACGGCACAACATCCCTTTGACAAGGCCCAAGATTCAGCAAGAATCCTTGTGACTACACTGTATACATGCCGCATCCACTGATTCTCTAGGGGACCAGTCTATATACCAACAACAACAACAACAACAACCACCATGTTCACATCACCGAAATCATTTTCTTCCTTCGTTCGCTTCCTTGGTCAATCTCCGCTCGCTTTGCTGGCTTTGCGACTGAGATCACCGCTTCACGGTGCGGATGGAGTCCGAAATTCAGAACGCCTCCCAGCCATTGATCAACAAGGTGGGTGTTGTGCGAGAGTAGGTCAACAGGTGGTTGTTTGCTGTTTCCTCCATTTTGTTTTGGGAATCTGCAGATCTAGAAGGAGTATGGCAAGGCCCTGTCAAAGGTGTGGATGGTTGATCCTAGATTTGATCAGATTGTTCTGATTGTTCACTATAGTGTGGATGGTTTCTGGGTTCAACTGATTCGGTTTGGACGAGGGACAGCTGATTTGGCTAAGAAGACACCCATGGTGAACAAACACCAGCCAATTGTTCCCTGGAAATCACTTGGGGATTCATGAGGAGAGGGGGTTGGTTTTTCGACGTGTCTTTTCTGGGAATCCTACTTGTGGAAACTGTAATTCAACCAAGCAGGAAATCACTTGGTGCCAATATGACCACTTGCCCATTGTGATGCACGACTTTCTGTTGAGGGAACGGGGGTCGTCTGAGGGTCCAGGAATAGTAATGGTTTGGTTCTTGTGTGTTTTCGGGATATCGACATACCCGAACACACACACACATCACCGTTTTTGCTTCGCGTGCTTCAGACCAGTCATCCATTTCTGAACAAATGAATGAGTAGGACAGATGAAAGAACACCAGTTGGCGATCCGTTCGGCAGTTTTGTAGAAACAATGCAAACTGGTGTCCACAAGAGTACAGGGTGAACTGCCCCAAAGCGCTTGGGGTGCAGGTTTGCCTTCTGACTGAAAGAACACCCCAGAAAGCAACATATTTTCTTCACAAGGGCTGTCAGCCATTTCCACCGTCATACTGCACTTTATTCTTATCATCATCGCATCGTCACCAGCAAAAAAGTTTGCCAAAGTATGGACGATTGATTTTCAACACAGCTTGCATGTTTGCAACACGAGGTTCCAAACAGTTCTCGCAAATCACCTGAAAGCAAAGGAAGATCTGGAAGGGATTCCTCCTGTAAAGGCAACGATCAATATGGCGCGTCGGCCCGAAAAATTGCACCCTTTCTTCAGCTTGAGGGAAAAGGCAGCTTATGCCTTCAGGTTTCATGTGTCCATTCATGGTCTGTACTCTCTCGATTTGAACGTGTCATCACACACGTTTCACCTTTCCACACCTCCAGTCTTTACGTTTTCCTGATTTCGGCCACAAAAAGACCCCACAGAGGAGCCCTTCCACCACTGGGAGAAGAACTGGACACTTGGCAGCGCTGGATGTGTCAAGCGTGAGGTTAGGAGTTGAAAAAGGAGCCCCGAACGTAGCGTCTTGTTACCAGCTACTTGTTCCTAGTAGCGAGGCCAGGAGCCCCTAGTAGCGTCCTTGCTCCTAGTAGTAAGGCCAGGAGCCCCAGTAGAGACCTTTCCAGAGCTTTGTCGCTGGGGACTTGCTTCAATTTGTTTTGCAACCACACACATGCGTCAAATCATACCTACAATCCTTCGCATGGCTCTTTTGGTTCTTGACCTCTAAATATTTCTACGTTGCAACCCCATTTCAGGTGGGTTATGGTGGATGAACCAGCTCCATGAGTCATGACAGGGTAGATCACGTCATCTCACACATGGTCTGATTCGGGGAAGGACGGAAGGACACAGGACTGTTCCAAACATCCTATGTCAGTGTTGTATTGTGGAAGGACATGCAGAAGTTTTCTGATATATCTTTGAAGTAATGGCACCTCATCCGGATCCCAGAAACTGTCGATCAATGAAGTCTGCTTTGCGAAGTCGACAGCTGCCGTTTTGCCCCAACCTTACATCTCCAAAGTTTTTGCGGGGCTTTAGCTGATGTCCAATTCCAATTTCTTTGGACTTCTTTGGCGCTTGAATCTGGGTGTCTTTGATTGGTGGCTTATTGACACCGGGTACTGCCACATGGTAAGCGTGGGAAAACCTTTGTTCATCTATCGGAACAATCATAGTGAGATTTTGGCCAAGAGCTTTGAGAGAGGCGTGCCATTTTTGGAGGAGCATCTTGCAATTCACTATATATATATATTTATTTGGGGGGAGGGTCCAAGGTGGAAGCCTGGCAGTATTCCACATTTTTGTCATCCATCAGCAGGTTCGACCATTGTTCTTTCGCCGGAAAAGACACTTAGCAACTGTTCTCATGGAGAACCCCAGTTTTGTTTCAGCCAAACAGATGGATCAACAAGAACAGCCTAAGTAACAAGTGCATCGCTACTAGCAGCAAGAAGTTAGTAGGTTGGAGGCCATCGCTACCAGGGTGGAGGCCATCGCTAGTAGGTTGGAGGCCATTACTACTAGTAGCAAAGACGCTACTAGTAGCTAGGTTTGTGGTCGCCTGAAGCGACCACAATGGACGAATTCTCCCAGATCGTGTATACAGAAGTTCTTTGTCCGAAACCGTGAAAGCTGGGGTTCTTACTTCCGAATGACTGGGTGGCTGATTTGCCTTTTGGTCCACTGCTGCCACTGCTTCCTTGTCTCCCAACTTGTGTCCTTCCTTGTCTCCCACTTGTGTCCTCACTTGTTTGCTTCTGTGATTTGCTCTTTGTCTGCTGCTGCTTTGTCTTCCCACTTGTCGTGAATTCAATGATACTCCTCCTGCCAACCTTCATGGGCTTGCTGGGCTAAGAGGAACAGATTTGCTTCCGTTTTGAGTTTCTTGCTATCTGGGGTCTATGCCGGTGTAATTTTATCCAGTCACTCCCCTCGTTGATGCCAAACCAAAGGTGCGGTACTGCCAGTAGGACTCTGTCAAGCAGAAGTAGTTCGTCATCATGGAGTAGATGAAAGCTAGTGAAGTACACAATTAATACCCCATGGAACATTGAGTCGGCTATGGGGTACATTGGATGCACAGCAGCATCAGCAAACATTAACCTCACCACTTGTGATTTGCCCAGGTCATATTATCCAATGCCCCATGTACTATCCATTCTAGGATAGTTGGAGATTCATGCCACCAACTGGGTCTGAGCAAGCCTCATTCTCAGTTTCCGCCAGAAAGGCGTCCCATGTCAGGAGTCCCTTCATCTACAAAGATGAAGATGGTGAGGAGCATTTGATGGCCCAAGAGGACGCGGTTCTGGAGTTTTGAGTGACAGGTGTCAACCCCCAAAGCCCCCTCGGTTGGGGATGCTTTGGTTGCAACAGACCAAACATCCTTCAACGAACGACGTTGGACGCTACGAACGGGGCTCCTGGCATCGCTACTAGGAGCAAGAACGCTACTAGGGGCTCCTGGCCGTACTACTAGGAACAAGGACGCAATCAGTCGCAAGAATGCTCCTAGTAGTACGGCCAGGAGCCCCTAGTAGCGTTCTTGCTCCTAGTAACGATGCCAGGAGCCCCTAGTAGCGTTCTTGTTACATCTTGTTACTAGTAGTAAGGCCAGGAGCCCCTAGTAGCGTCGTTGCTCCGAGAGTACATCTAGGGCTTTTCATGGACATCCAAATGTTTATCCTGTACTCTGTTTCTACATTTGTTCGGGATGCTGGTGGATTGGCCGCGGATCATTGAATACAAAGCACATTGGAGTACTTTTCCTTTACCTTTACAAGGCCGGTTTTTGAGGTGTGCGCTGTACCCCTTTAAACGGAGTGTACAGGGCGAGTCATTGCCATCGAACGAACCTGGAATGAGTTGGAACTGCTTCTTTGCACGACTGGTGAGGACACATGCAGATTGGTTAGTGCCGGCAGGAGTTGTGGATGAATCCATGCCGTGCCCAGTGCAACTAGCGTAACCAGTGTCGCCAGTGCTCCTTTTTCACCAGTTACGCGGATAAGACCGCTGGCAGCAGTTATGCCAGATGACTAGAGAGGTCAGCGCGACTAGTGTAACCAGCGTAGTCAGGGCGTACCCAGCGTAACCAGGGTGCCAGTACTGTTCGAGGACACGCTAAGCGCCATGTGGCTCAAAAACTTCTATAACAAACGACGGTACAAACAGAGGTACAAATACGATGACTATCACACAACCCCGTATCACTCCAATCTAGTTATACGACTTTTGGATGATAAGGGTGAGAAAAGACGCTGATCTTGTCAACTTGTGGAATCAACTGCAGTCTGGTGAAACTGATGATAGCCGTAGAGGTTGACAAAGTTGTAAAGGTTGACGAAGTAGAAAGGTAGATCATAGAGGTGACGAGCAGAACTGAGTCACAACATGATAGTATGGATCCTCGGACGATGTAAGCAAAGGCATGAAGAACACTGTATCGGACACGGCATTTTCCCACCCAACATAAAATCACTGTCACTTGTCTACTTCGAAATGGATGGGGTTGGTCTACCTATAGACTACAGGCCAACCCCCGGTAAAAACCAGCATGATGTTCCAAATGAGTACAGCCGGGAGATAGGATGCTACTTCTGGACGGAGTTTCTCGAGCATTTGGCTACAACTCCAGCTGGGCCGAATCTGTCAGATGTGCATTCGAATAGAAACAAGAAGCTACGAACGGGGCTCCTGGCCTCGCTACTAGGAGCAAGGACGCTACTAGAGGCTCCTGGCCGTACTACTAGGAGCAAGTTTCTACTAGTAACAAGACGCCTGTAGATTCGAATAGAAACAGCGTATTTGTGCCTTCCGCTACGCAGCTCCTCCCGACTCAACCGGCGTTCTTGATACACTCATGGAAAACAGCTGAGAATTTCTCCTTTCAACCCACTAGCGATGGCCTCCAACCTAGTATAATCCTTGTTTAGGCCCGTAGACTGTAGACCTGTTTTGTTTCCTTCCTTTTTTTCCTTTGGGTTTAGGCCAGGATTCGCGACTATACAATCATGGTTCCATAGCCAGAAACGAGGCGACCGTAATACGGCAAGACCACGGCGCAAACGAAATGGGCGTTGGCCACAGCACACTGCTGAGCTGGTGAACGGTGATCACACACACACACTGGCTGGCACTAGCCCGAACAGCCAGTATCCAAGTTAAGCTCTCCCAAAAGGATTGAAACAGAACAATCTCGAGGTAATTGTAAGTTAAACTACTAGGGGCTCCTGGCCTCGCTACCAGGAGCAAGGACGCTACGAACGGAACAAAAACAAAGAAAACGCACACTCCACCCTCCCCGGCGTTGAAGCGGACCGCTGGGTCAGGACGTCGAGCCGCAGGTGGTGGTTTCCATGGATCATCAGCCACTGGGAAGGAATGGCTTTGGGCTGGACGAAGCTGGACGGTTTCACTGACGGTTTCACTGAATTATCAGTTGTGTGACAGTTGTGTGATGCCGAGATCTTGCAGGTTTTAGGTTCACTCGCCTCGCTTGGAGGAACACCAAGCTCTTGAAGCTTGTTGACTTAGAGAAGAGTGCATAACAGATGATGCTTTACAGTTCAATCTACTGTCTTGCTTTTGCTGGAGCAGACACTATGAGGCGAGAGGGGGCGGGTTTGATCGCATTTCCCATAATAACAGGGTGGTCTCACCATGCAAGGATGGCCATCCTTCGATCTAGGGCATCCGATTTTTACAGAGATGTTCCTCCAAGCCTGTGGTATTTGGACAAGGTCAATGACAACCGCCGCCGAGATCTATAGCCCTATGGAGTCATGAAATGGCGGAGTATGCCTGACTTGTAAAACTCTGGACGGAGTAGTTGATGTGCAACTGCTTGCAGGGTCCTTAAGTACACCACAGTCTCAGAGCGAAAAGTGAGGTTCCAAGCGCAACACACAAGAAAACAGGAGAGGGACACATGAAGAAAAACACACCCAAGAGCACACTCCACCGCCACCGAAAGCACGCTTGCATTGCCCCGAGGTTCATTGCGGGCCAACAGGTCTACAACACCAGCTCTCCACAGGTGATCGGCCCTGGGCCGTTCGGCGATGGACCTTCGCACGCGCAGATGGTGCACCTGTGTGGTGTTGCACACGAGTTTTTGTCCTGAGCGATTCATGGATCACATCACGCCACCTGTGTTTGGCGGCTTTTTGACTGTAGGGCCGGGGCCGGTACGGCTGTTACAGGCCGGCCTTGGCTGATGGAACTGCATGGTACAGTGTAGTGTTAGGGGCCGAAAGACCAGTTAGGAAAATAGGATTTTGGGGTGTCTAAAAACAACAGTTTCATAGGCGTCATAAGGGTCAGCTTGGTCCCCGGTTCCGTAGGGAGGTCGTGATTTGTCTGGGAAAAGCACTTGCCAGCTTTCCTGACATCCAAACAGACGACCAAGCTCCCACAAAGCAGTGTTCTGGCGACGACCGACCGAGAGAACGCCCACCTTAAAAAAGACACTTTAGACGATCTCGTGGCATGCCAGGTGATTCCGACGTGTTAGCAACTTGGGGAGGGCATGTGAGGACATTTGTTGACCCCCTTCCCAGGTATGGTTTGTTGCTAGTTTCTCATCTTCAAGATCTCTGTCTTTTTGCGAATACGGATGAATTTGAGCCCTCGCAACAAGTGGATTGAAGAGTCGACTATAGCCATCATGTGTGAGGGGAAAAGAAACACCTAAACCCATGCCGAACCACTAGTAGCTTCTTGCTACTAATAGCTTCTTGCTACTAGGTGCCTTACTGGTAGTAACAAGCTACTGGTAGTAACAAGCTACTGGTAGTAACAAGCTACTAGTAGTAAGGCAGCTTGCTATTAGTAGCTTCGTGCTACTAGTAGCGATGCACCTTGTTACTAGCAGACTGGTCTCTTTGGGCAGACTGCAAATTCTCGCAAGTCGCCCGTCAGATAGATGCCTGGGTCAAGGAGAAGCAGGCGCTTGGCGCGGGATACTCCCATCCAAAGAAGATTCACTTCGGTGAATTCGATGACCAAAGAATTGGGCAAAACCCTTTTTTGTGTCGTCTTGTCGTCGACACTTCATGACACTTCGTGACACAGCGAACCGAAACCCGTGTCGCTGCGTGTGACCAGTGATAGGTTGTTTCAGAAGGAACGGTTTCACCAACAAAGCACCGAATCACTTGGGGTGCTGCCCCCGGTGAAACAGATGAATTGAGCTCTTCCATGTTGTTCTTTTTGCATGTTTTCTTTTCATTTTCCGCACCTGTCAGGTGAGGGTTGTTAGATTTTACGTCAGCCCCATCTCCTCCTCCGCCTCGTCCTCCTCCGCCGAACCTCAACCGTGACCATCCACGCCCAGTGTTCCCTGCCGGACCTCAACCGCGAGCTCCAGGCCCAAGTGTTCCCTGCTGGACCTCAGCCACAGCACACAATCACAACCACAAACAAAATCACAAACACACTACAAACACAATCACAAACACGCAGCCACAAACACACAACCACCAACACAATCACAAGCTCGCAGCCACAAGCACAATCACACCCACACAACCACAAGCACAAACACAATCACAAACGCAACCGCAAAAAAAGCAACTACAAACACAATCACAAACACAACCACAAACACACAACCACAAACACACAATCGCAAACACACAACGAACACCCACAAGCAACCAACCACAAACACCAACACAAACACCAACACAAACACACAACCACAACCTCAAAACCACAAACACACAACCACAAACACACAACCACAAACACAACCACAAACACACAACCACAAAGACACAACCACAACCACAACACACAACCACAGCACACAACCCGAGGACCCACAAGGAAAATCAAGAACTACAATACTCACGACCATGGCAACATGCTCCTCACTATGGCATCAAGACAAATGATTGAAATGTCACGGTGGGGATGACTGGCAGCCTCGCCAGCCTCGCCAGCCTCCAGGCAGAAGCGGATCAGCAGAAAGAGATCCTTTTGCCAGGGGTCCATGGCGGCTGCTCACCGTTGCTCATCACCGAGCCGATTGAGTCTTGGCCAGGAAAGTTGGGAGAACGCCACTGGTGTTCACCACGAACTCATCACGGTGAATTCACCGGTGAATGAAAAGCAACTCTTTTCATGTTTTCGTCTTCCCAGCCATCCATGGAATCGTGGACATGAGTCAGAGTGTACTAGACAAAAGACCCTTGTGATTCGGGTTTTGTCTCCGACTCCGCAACTCGGGGAAGCTTTCGTCGGGTTTCCGAGAGTGGATTCCAAGTCCGGACTCGTTCACAGCTGAGACCCATGTGACTATTATATCGTATTATAAATAAAGTTTTATTGTAATATATATATATATAACATTATATTTTTTTAACGTCAAAGCTGCTGATGATTCCCAGGATGAACATGTTTCTTCTGAAGGTGAATGATGGTGAATGACTAGCCTCGTTGGCTGGAATGGGTAAAGAGATATGGAGAATCTGATCGAACCAGGATGGTTATGGTTGGAAAGATGAGCAGAGTAGCAGAGCAGCTGATTTTTTTTCAGGATGGAGACTTGTTAAATCTATCTATCTACCTACCTACCTATCTATCTATCTACCTGCCTATTTTTCACTGAAATCCACTAAAGATAAATGAGTCGATGTCCTCACACATCCTCTCACTATAGTTTGTCCATTCTTGTTCCGCTCAGGAAGGCTTGGAGATGGAGCCCCCCTTCTATCTCTCCATCCTGCACGTGAGGACTCAAGCCACGCACCGCCTAATAGGAATGGCCTCCAACCTAGAAGCAATGGCCTCCAATCTAATAGCAATGCCCTGGACCAGTCCGGAGGTGTGCATCTGAGTTCTGTGGTTCTGTGAAGTTGGGTGACAAAGAACGTCACCCCCACCAGCTTGAGGGCAAGCCCTGTGTCATCATGATATGAGATATCTATTAGACACGAGGAAGTGGCTCACATGAGGAGTGCACGGTTTCTGCAGCAGAGGATTATCAGAATCTAATGACATGAAGCAGACCCTCTGGTTGTTCAGAGTCCATGTCAATTTTGTTTAATTTGTTTCCGGCTGGAAACATACCAACCCAATTCAGGCTTCTTGTTTTGGGTTTGTTGTGTGGCAGTCCAGGTTTGTTGGGAGAATAGCCCCTGAACTCGAATTTCCGATCCGACAGGAACATTTGCAGGAAGATATCGACCCCTCCTCCTAGCCTTGCCTGTAGAACTTTGGTGACTCTGGTGATTGCCCGTTTGTTTGCATGCAAGCCACCACAGCCTAGACTTTACGGACCTCTTGAGCAATACAACATGGTGGAGCAGGATGGTGCCCTCATGCCTTGGAGAAACCGTTGGAAGCTCGGAAGCTACCTTTTTGCACCAGGCGTAGGTGAATTGTATTCTTTGTTACGTTCGCAGCTTCTTGATCTTCTTGTTACTAGTAGCGATAGCCTCCAACCTAATAGCGATGGCCTCCACCCAGCTCCACCCAGCTTTCTTTCTCTGGGTGTACAGCATAGATTGTGGTCATGTGAGGGACGTTCACCGTATCCATGTTGAATGTATCACCTTTCTTGGACACCTGCACGTGTTCTTGACATTCACATTTCCTGGTCGTTTTCTCGTCATTTTGCCCTTCAATGTCTCGCAGCTCGTCGAAGAGCGCTGCTCGGAGGACCTTGAAGGATGGCCAGTGACCGGGAGAACGGGTGGAGAGCGGGTGTCCGGGAGACCCTCAGGTGCTGAGGGCGACGCGATGAGCCTGCTTCGCTCAGAAGGAACACTTGTTCCTGACTTGTTCCTAGTAGCGAGGCCAGGAGCCCCTAGTAGCTACTTGTTCCTGGTAGAAGGTTGCTGATTCGCAGTGCTTGGGAAGATGCGAACTTCTTTTGCGATCGTGGGGGCTTAATGAGCGGAGCGCAGTGTTCACGATTGGTGACGGGTTTGGCCCAAAAGCACGCTTGCAGCACTTCGTGTTGTTATGAAAACAATACACACTTGACACTGCCCTGGACGTCCAAGACCATTTTCAGAATTGTAGATTTTGGGTTTTTGCAGTGTAAAATCCTTAGTAAAACCATGGTTGGTGGGTAAAGGCTATTTAAGAGAAAAAGCACACGTGGTTCGACTTCTTGACACTGGTTGAACACACCCTCCCGGTGACATTTTCTTGCACCTAGTGCAGCCGTCCGTCCAATATCTTACGTTCTTGCAGCTCCTCGTTCAGCGAATGCCTCCTGTGGAAAGCTTTGCACCTCCCGCAGGATCCACCAGGTCCTTTTCGGATCCCTCTGATGACCTTTCATTGAATGTAGAATTGCTCCTAATAGTACTGTAAGGCCAGGAGCCCCGTCCTTGCTCCTAGTAGTAAGGCCCTTTGTTTCTAATAGCTTCTTGTTCCTACCAGTCTTTCTCACGTGGCAACAAAAAACATTGCATGTGCTCGAACACATCACTTCAAAAATTATCCCCGACCAAAGACGGCCGCGTTACCAGGTACTTGGTCTACCACAACTTCTTCTACCTCTTTGATGCCTCTCCACCCTTCGCCGTACGCCACGTGCTGCGCAAAGAGGTGCCCTTGCTGCCTGGACCTTCAGCAGCTCGGCCAGCGACGTCGGGCCTAAGGACCGGACGTCGGGGCCAAAGAAGAGTGACACTGCTCAGTAGGGGCCGTCTCCAGTTGCCGAGCAGGACGATGTGGATGCCAACGTAGAGTGAAGTGTATTTCTCCGCTACGTAGTAACAAGTGCCTTACTACTAGGAACAAGGACGCTACTAGGAACAAGTGCATCGCTACTAGTAACAAGTGCCTTACTAGTAGTAACAAGAAGCTATTAAATTAATAGCTTCTTTGTTACTACTAGTAAGGCACCTGTTACTACTAGCGTGGCACTTGTTACTACTAGCTCCGTTGGTGAAACCGTGCATGTCGAACTCGAATGGCCGATGTTGTGGAAGGTCGTCTTTGTTCAGCGCGTCAGCCGAAGGGGTTGAGAAACACTTTGCTCAAACGAAGTAGCGCCCTATGAGGTTTTCTTCATCCAAACCAAGAGATCAGTGAGAAGGCAAGGCTTCCTTTAAAAGGTCCCCTTAAAGAATACCTTGCAAACTTGCATCCAGTATGCTCATCATTGTGTATCCTTGCCTACTTGGTCTCGGCTCGAGAAGTCACAAAGTAGGCAAAGTCAACCTTGGCGTCATCCAGACACGATTGTGAGGACTCTTCTTTTTCCAAAAAAGACTATTATTAATTAGTGCGTGAGCTATCCTGCGTCCAGTAACTAGGAGCTAGGCGCCCTTGCTGGTGCCGACTTGATTAAGTAGTAGGGGGGCAGGCCAGGACCTCAAAAAAGCTTAAAGCTTTCCTGTGAGGAGTGAAGATGTTACATCGATCGAAGATGCCGTGCAAGTGCCTGCAAAAACTAAGACATCCCCACGCAACATCCCCCTACAAAAAAAACAATCGTGAAGAAGATCGTGCACTTACACAATTCGGAATCTTCTTCTTCGTTATCGATGGACATCCGACAAAAAACCAAGACAACGCTTACGTTCATCCAAAAAAGTTTGAGAGCATATGCCCTTGACTCTGAACAGATGGCTACTGTCAAACCGGCCAGACACCGTGTTCTCTGAGAGACTGCCACTCAGGTCTTTCCTCTCTTGGTGGCCTTCGCCACCCAACTTCTGCGTCTCGACGATGTGTCGCTGGTGGTGCTCTTCGGAATGGGTGATGCGCGGGCGAAGCAGCTCAGGCTGCCACTGAGCCAACTCCAGGACTTCATTTGAAGGCGCTGAGTCAACTTCAGCGGATATTCCAAATGCAAAACAACACACAGTAAGAAGCTACTGGGCATTACTACCAGTAACAAGAAGCTACTAATAACAAGGGAGCTGCTGAATTTGGGGAGTTCATGATTAAACGCTTTTGGGAGTTCAGCACGGAGGGCCATTTAATTTAGGATTTTTTTTTTAAAAGGAATTTTTGTTGTTTTTCGTGGCTTCTGTGGCTTTCGTGGCTTCTGTGGCTTCTGTGGCTTTCGTGGCTTCTGTGGCTTCTGTGGCTTCGTGGCTTCTGTGGCTTTTGGCTTTTGTGGCTTTCGTGGCTTCTGTGGCTTCTGTGGCTTTCGTGGTTTCTGTGGCTTCTGTGGCTTCTGGCTTTTGTGGCTTTCGTGGCTTCTGTGGCTTTTGTGGCTTTTGGCTTTCGTGGCTTTTGTGGCTTTTGTGGCTTTTGGTTTTTGTGGCTGTTTGCTACTAGTCCATATTTGTCTATATCTATCCGTCTATATCTATCTGTTTGTCTGTCTATCTGTCTGTTGTGTTGTGCTTTTCCTTTTATTCGCTTTGCAGAGAAGAACCCAAACAAGGAAGCAAGCAAGCAAGCAAGCAAGAGCTGCTCACCTTTGGATCTGGTGTGCTGCTGGGGGGGGCGCTGCGCCCCCCCCAACCCCCCCCGCCCCACGAAATCTGCACTTCATCTCCGCCACCCGCGCCTGCCACGAAACCTTTCTCTTTGCTTTTCTGCTAACTGCACCAAACTGTTGTGATAGTCTGACACCTACACTATTCCAATGCAAATCTGTCTACCTATCCATTTGTCTGTCTTTGTCTATTTATCTATCTCTCGATCTATCTATCTTTCTATCTTTCTTTCTTTCCTATCTATCTATCTATCTATCTATCTATTTGCACTTCAACATCCACAAAGTCCTTCACCTGCCACGAAATCGAAATCGGCACTTCAAGGCCCGCAAAGCACTGCACCTGCCACGAAATCTGCACTTCAAGGTCTACAAAGTCCTGCGCCTGCCACGAAATCTGCACTCCGAGCCCCACAAAGTCCTGCACCTGCCACCAAATCTGCACTTCACTTCAACATCCACAAAGTCCTGCACCTGCCACGAAATCCGCACTTCAACATCGACAAGGTCCTGCGCCTGCCACGAAATGTGCATTTCAAGGTCCACAAAGTACTGCCACGACATGTGCATTTCAAGATCTACAAAGTCCTGCGCCTGCCACGAAATCTGCACTCCAAGTCCCACAAAGTCCTGCACCTGCCACCAAATCTGCACTTCAACATCCACAAAGTCCTGCGCCTGCCACGAAATCCGCACTTCAACATCGACAAAGTCCTGCGCCTGCCACGAAATGTGCATTTCAAGGTCCACAAAGTAGCATTTCAAGGTCCACAAAGTACTGCACCTGCCACGAAACACGAAAAACAAAAAAGATTCCTAAATTGAATCCGAGCCCGTTCAGCACGGTGCACTGATGTGACCGTGCTGACTGAGCCCATACTGAGGCCCTATACGGTGTAGTGACATAGAATTAGTGAAAGACGACGGAACTATTTATAGATTGTTTAAATGCACTTGTTACTAGTAGCTTCTTGTTACTACTAGTAAGGCACTTGTTACTAGTAGCGATGCACTTGTTCCTAGTAGCTGTTTGTTCCTATTTATAGATTGTTTCTTGTTAGTCAGCTGCAATTCAACAGGCGTGACACGAAGGGTAGGAAGCAGACACTCCAGCCACCGAAATATGGACTTCAGCTTGAGAATTTACAACTAACTGGTTCAAGAAAAAAACATGTCAGTGCTCAGAAGTTACCTTGTTTGTCTTTCAGTCTTTCTGTGGTTGTTCCTGATACGATCGTGCGATCTCACATGCTGATTGTACAAACTTTCGACCAAGAGCAGCAGCGAATGCGGGTGGAAAATCCCGGTGCGACCGTGGTCAGCGTCGCCACGACTAGGTACCGAGTTTGCACCTCCAAACGAACAGAGCAACCGAAACAACAAAAAAAGAAGATGGGCAGCATTTGTTCTTTCATCCAAGCCATCTTCTTTCGCTAGGAACAATGTTCGCTACGAACGGGGCTCCTGGCATCGCTACGAACGGAGCGAGGACTCTACGAACGGGGCGCTCCTGGCCTCACTACTAGGACCCAAACATGAGGATTCATCCCAACACCAATCTGTAGCCAAGTTGCTGACCACGACTATGTGAACATAGGTTTTACTTGAACTTCAACGTGTTTGGACAGGTTGAGTCAACACTCTTTGGCAAGATGAGTAACCTCGCCAAATGGACGGACTACATTAGTTTTCTTAGATATTCAAAACCAAATGGCAATGAGGTGTCAGAATTACATAGAATTATAGCATGCACAAGGAGTTGTTTCACCACTCTTCAGTGACAAAACATGTTTCAACCTCCGAACTCTCTGTTTCTCTCCTCGCCACGGTTCGTCACCACTTTGTGAAACCACACGACTCGTGAAACGACTCTACGATCGTAAACGAAGCAGATGACTCGTTTACAGACGCCAAAGCCGTCCAGCTGACCATTTGGAGGTTCCAGTAAAGACCTAATTAAGTTGATAGAACTGCGGATATCTCGCAGACGAGACATGGCTTTGGACGGTGATTCTTTTTTTGTGCATCGATTGGTAAGCTGATGCAGCTTAGATATAGTCAGATGTAGCGGGGGCAAGAAAAACAAAAAGAACTCTCCGGTTGGACACCTGGTCAGAGAATATGACACATCTGACATTTTCAAGCAGATACATACCATTCTTCCGTGTAATAAGATTGGTCTATCAAGCCCTCCATGAGTTGCCTCCACTTGTATCGCTCAGAATGGTCACCCCGGTTGAGTTTTGAACTAAACGTTTTGATATGAGGCATTACCCAATGCATGCAGACATGCAGAAGATGAATGTTTTTGAAGTTAGGGACCCCAACTCATTGTCAGCAAAGTTCAAAACTACATCCACTGCGGGTGGATGTTAATGTACAACATGCTGCGATGTTGCAACGTACTAGCAAACCTGCAAACCTTTGCACTGCCGTCTTACTAACATCTATTGAGTTGAACATTGCCATAAATTTTGGTCAGTTGTGGACCGGTTGGTCAGGACCAAAGTGTTCACTTGGAATTGTGACCATGTGGGACCCATGGTGAAACATGGGGGGTCTCAAATGAGGAGCCCCGTTCGTAGCGTCCGATCGCTCCTATTTGGCATGCCAGGAGCGCCTAGTAGCGATCATTGTTCCTAGTAGTAACATGGAGTAACCTTTCATCTCTCATCCCACGCCCACAGTGAGACCATCCGAAGCGAGACGAAAACGACACCGTGGCCTCGTCCGGTGACACGCGGCTTCAGCCCAAGTCGTGACCGACTGACGCGACTGAAACACGCACGACTCGCAACGCGACCGACGCAACCTGAGACGCGATGCCAGCCAACTCGGAGACTGGGATCAAGACAGAAGGCAACTGAAACACACAGACAGCAGGTGAGACAAAGAGCAGAACTAGGAACAAGAAGCTACTAGGGGCTCCTGGCATCGCTACTAGGAGCAAGGACGCTACGAACGGGGCTCCTGGCCGTACGACTAGGAGCAAGAAGCTACTAGAGACAGCAGGTGAGACAAAGTCGCGTTGTTCTTTTGTGCGAAAGGTTTGCGGAGGTTTCCGACCAGCATAGATGGAGGGATTCTCCATAGACGGGGTTCAATCATGCCTCACATCTCCAAGTCTTACCGTACTCGAAGAAAACAGGAAATCTCGGAGCTGTTAGGTGACACCGTCTTCCTTCATCCCAGTATAGCTGTAGCCAGAGTGAAGTTATCCCCTTGCCCTTGTCACCTATCATCAACGGCCGGTAGAGTAACGCTTCTGTTTGGTTTTCGCTCAAGCCTTCACATCCTTCACATCCTTTGTCACATCCGGTTCAGGTGCTTTTCCTCCTGCTTTATAAAAAGACACTGGCGAGAATCACCGAATCACCCAGGAGAAGCCTCACCTGTCCATCGTGATTTGCGGCCACGTCGATAGCGGCAAGAGCACCACCACGGGAAGGTTGATCTTCGAGCTCGGTGGTTTGCCAGAGCGTGATTTGGAGAAGCTCAAGCAGGAGAAGTTCGGAGACGGAGACACCAAAACGAGAGAGAGGGGATTGAGAACAAGAGTGACCATCGCTAGCGGGTTGGAGGCCATCGCAGGTAGGTTGGAAGAGTGAGAACAAGAGTGGCTGGGAGGCTTTGGTTTTAGAAGCTAGCTGAAAATTGATAGTGGGATCTACAGTAGGTACTTGGGTTAGGTTTTGGATCTCCAGTTTTTCATGTTCCTTGTTTTTGGGATTTTTGTGGTTGAGCAGAAGCTCGAGCAGAAGAGAGGCAGTTGATCACACATGTTTGTCAAGAGGAGAGGCCTCTTTGCCACTTAGTGGGTGCTGCTTCTTACTTAACCAAGCGACTTTTTTGTTTTGCCATCAGGTTGGAGCAGATGGCACCACCTCCAAAATGACCGCCCCCTCCACGATTTGGGTCACTTCGCGACGATGTCGTCGCCCGCACCATTGACTCTTGGGGGTGTAAAAAAGTCATAGTTTCTTCATGTTTCAGTCTAATCGCTCTAGAAATTGTACGATCGACTCTTCTAGTTCTTTTGTATGTAATAACTTGACTGTTCGACCCCTTGAATCGAAATGGTACATCTTTCACGGGGTCCAAATTGTATCCAACAATGCTTGCAAATTGCGCGGAAGATCAAGTAAGACATAAGTTAAAAAATGGAGTGATTATTTTATTCATCCACATCATGCTGCGTTCATCTCTTAGCCTTGTCTCGATCATGCAGATTGTATAGTTTATTGTGCATAATCAGATGCAGGACCAGGATACGCATGTTTCCCTCAGCACTTCGGTGCGGGCGGCTTTTGGTTGGACAGGTCCAGGTTGGGCAGTTTGGAGAGGATGTTTTGACAGGAATTGTGGAAAGCAGAGGTGTGGCTAAAGGATGGTAAGATATTAATGTTTTTGTTGAAGATGTGTGTCAGTCAAAATATAATGCCCGCACGCAACCAATTTCAGTAGATAAACCAACAAATATGCCTCTCATGCTACCCTGCACCTGCTTCGTGGCATTTCCTACCTTTTCCTTCCATGGTTGTCAACGTGGCTACCCTGAATGCTAGGAAGCTGAAGGATGCGAGGAAACTACGAACGACGTTTTTTGTCGTTTCAGATGCCTCGTAGTTTGATGATCACGATGCATCCATCTCGGGTCTCGGGATGATACGCCCAGCGCAACATGAGAGGCGCAGAAAGCCCACGTGATTGGAGTAGTTGAAATATGTGACATGTGAAAGGTGATATGTTGGTGGTGTGAGTGGTACATTGCCAGAGTTTGGGGTTCCAATCTTGAAGCCTGGCGCGTGTGGGTCCTTGATTTCAGCTGATTGGCTCATGACAGGTTTGGTATTCAAAAGATCGTCTCCAGGGTTCCAAGTGCAGGGTTTTGGGGAACAACATCACCCCCTGTTCCTGCCAGATAGGGGCTTCGCCCTTTGTGAAGACCAGACAGCCCGGACAACCCCACAGATGTGTTGTACGCAGGAGGCGGACCGTTTGGGCAAAGGTTCCTTCGCCTTCGCGTTCTTCATGGACCGGCAGAAGGACCGAGTCAAGACGTTGGGCAGTGCGTTCTTTGCGAGGCCATCGCTAATACGTTGGAGGCACATCATTGCTAATACGTTGGAGGCCATCATCGCTAATGGGTTGGAGGTCATCATCGCTAATCGGTTGGAGGCCATCATCGCTAATAGGTTGGAGGCCATCATCGCTAAT